TGAGATACACAGGTGCTTAGTCCACAGGAACACTATTGTGAGCAATACATAGAGAAATGGTAGAGAAGTGGCCTATACATGTTGCAAGTGCTTAACTAGTGGAGTTGAAGGAGCTTATTTCATATGAGCCATGAAATGATGTCATGTGGCTAGGTGGAGAAGATCAAGAGGTGAGGCTTGGATACAAAGGATCGGGTTGCAAGTATAAAGGGCAAGCTAGAGGCTCAGGTGCGATGGCCATCGAGGCGATGAAGCGTGAGTGAAGGTCTTGGCGCTGATGGACCGAGTGCAATGGTGAAGAGAAAGCGAGGCTACAATCGATGAACCAATAATAAGGACATGTGATGACATGAAGTGGATCATATCATTCATGGATGATCAAGCCATGTGAAGACTTGTGTTGATTTCAAGTGGCTTGATGGAGTTTGGATGCTTCTGCGACATCACCATTGGAGGATATGAAATGGAATGTGCAAGGAAAAGTTATATTTGTAGGGCATTTCATTTCACCGGTCTAAGGTTGAGTAGAGAAGTGATTGACTGGGTTTAGGTACATGATCGTACTATCAAGAGGGGAAAACTTGTTTGCATATCAGTCATTTAGGGCCACTTGAGCGATCTAACATTTCATGTGTTGCTAGGATCGAGTGTTGATTGAAAAAGTGTTTGAAAACCTTTGAGAAATGATTTGAAAATTCTAACTCATGCTAAAGATGGTGGTTCTCTTATGTGACAACACTGGAAGTGGGTGAATTTTCAATAGGTTTGAAAATGATTTGTTTTGAGGTTCAAGGAGGAGCTTGGAGGCATGTTTAGTGCATCACCGGACTAATCTGGTGGCCCTAGGGTTTGGGGCACCAGACAAATCCGGTGTGGAGAAGGAGGCGCGTACAGGGAAGCTTGGGTAGTTGTTGTGTTACCTAGCAGTTGGACCGGCCCTGATGGAAGTCTGACCGCTAGACCAAATTGATCTAGTGATTGATGTGCGGGGCCACTAGATCATGTGTAGCAACCATTCATGATCAGGGTTTCTCTGGTGGAGGCTGGGCGTTCCAACCATGGTGGGTGCCGGTTGGACCGGCCTATGTGCTGAGCCGTGTGGGAGATGGTCGAGGTTCAAATGTTGGTGGCGCTTGATTCGGTGTGGCCTGCTGAACCAATCCGGTGGTGGGCAAAACCTCTTTGGTGGCGCAAGTTTTGCCTAATGGTTGGACCAATGAGGTGGCCGGTTGGACTAGCTAACTCATGGGGCTGATCAATGCAGGTGACTGTTGGTGGCGCGGGCGGTAGCCATCGGAGATAGGGGGTCTAACCGCTAGGAGGTGTCTACGCGGGCTGAAGCCCCTCAATGGCTAGTTGGAGGCCTCCATCTATAAATAGTGGGGGTGGCCGACCATTTGGAAGGTAGCTTGGGGACTTTGTGTCCACCCATAGAGAAGTGTTCTAGCCCTCTAACTCACATATTCTTAGTTGATATAGCATCTGATTGTGAGTGAGCGATTCCTCGTGTGTTGCGTTGAGCGATTGCATTGAGTGGCACTAGGATTAGGTGTTCGTGTTGCAAGCCGGTGGCACTTGTTACTCTTGGAGGTTGCCACCTCCTAGATGGCTTGAAGGCTCGAGGACTCCGGCGTAGCACGCACGGAGGTTGTGCGGTGCTCCGGAGAGACCATGTTGTGAGGGGTGTTGTGCTCGCCCCGTGGGGGATTCCAAAGAGCAACTCTAGTAGAAGTGAGGTGTGAAGAACGCCAAGTGGTTTATCCTGATCAAGTGTGGCGGAAACCTTGGCCTTGCCTCAAGTGGGATTAAGTGGTTGATAAACTACCGGACCTCAGGGATAAAAATCACTATGCGAACATTGTCTTCCCGTTGATTTGCAATCTCCTACACTAGCTTGCACTACTTGATTAATTACTTGTGCTAGTGTTGTAGTTGTTGCTCTTGTGTGCTAGTTAGCTTGTTAGTTTGTATAGCTAATTAGTTGCTCTCTAGTTTAGCTTGTGTAGTGTAACTAGTGAGTAGTGCTAGTGTAGTTTGTGCTTGGCTCACTAGTATGTGTAGGAGCTCGCTTGTGCTTGCTTGACTAGTTCCATATGTTTGTTTGACCTTGCTAACTAGAATTGTTTAGGTGGGCTCCCTCTAGATCGGCGCCTTAGACTTAACATGCTTAGGGTCTTTGTAAGGTGATTGTGAAAGATAAAGAGCGTAGTCTTGGCTAGACGGATCAGTTTAATTTCGTATTTGTTTCAGTTAGCCAGCGTAGTTAAAACTTAGAAAAGACTATTCATCTCTCCTCCTCCCCCTCCTCTATTCAGCTCCTTAGTTCCTAACACTCGTGAAGGGACGTATAGTTTGTGCAGGGAATGGATACGATGAGGGAATGGTAGCAACCAAACTGACAGGCGGAGGAGGATGGGTGACTAACGAACTATGTGGCGGCGGCCCTTATCAATCATGGTACAGTGTTTTCTTTCATATCAAATCAGCTTTAGCCGGCTTAGCAGCCGTAGAAACCATCAACCGAACAGCTTAAGGGAGAGAGAGATAAACGAGGGAGAGAAAAGGAATGATGACATTTGGGTACATTGCCACTTGTCTTTCACGCCAGCAAAACCACCCATCAAAAAAGCTAGATATACAAATGTGAATGGTTTTAACAGTTGGATGGTCTTCTTTACGTAAATTCCATTGTTTTCTGCCTCGTCGCTTGTTTCCACATGTACACGTGCCATGCTTTTTTCTGAGGCCGTAGTGGGATGGATGACGCAGTGCCTGTACCACCAAAGGTGCAGAGTAGAAAACAGGTGAAAAAAAATCAGTGAGAGGCGAGAGATAAGTCGAGGATATTTTTCGAGCTGTGAGTTTTGACCAATGACCACTTGAGGCTGGAGACGATATTTTACCCGTGAAAGCCATAGCATGCTTTGTCTTTTTCCCGTGGCTAAAAGGGAGGAAAAGCGAACTGATCATAGATCAGCTTCCGATCGACCCTCAATTTACGTAGTTTATTGAGGGGGGTTAAACGGTTAAACCAGCGGCAGCGTATGGTGGATCCGTGGATGATGGCCGTGCACGGATCGGTGGGGTGCCCACCCACGGACAACAATTAGGCATTAATTAAGGCCCCGTTTGGCAGGGCTTCACTTCACTAGTGAAGTCATTTTTTTTTGCTTTAGCTCCACGAACAGCTCCACCGGTGGAGCTGAAGCGGTTTTGGTAAACCGTTTGGTAAAATGGCTTCCCTGTGAGAGCATGTTTTTAGGGGCCTGGAGGAGGAGCCGGGAGAAGCCACTATTTTTTGCTTCTTCCCACCACAAAGCTCTGTAAGAGCACGTTTTTAGGGGCTTCATCGGTGGAGCCGTTTTATTTTACCCCGTTTGGCAGAAAACGGCTCCTGAAGCCGCTGGAGAAGCCCTGCCAAACGGGGCCTAACTTTGCGTGATAAAAATTTTATATTAATAATAGAAGTATAATTGCTGATCAAAGGCTTGTTCTAATAACAAAACAAAATAAGCTTCAATAATTTGAAAACGTGGTAGTAAGTTCTAAACTGCAACTGAACCGAAACCTAAAAATTCCACCATGGCAACCGCATAAGCTTGAATAATTTCGGGTCAAATATGAACTAGGCTATCCACCTGTGACGCAGCAACAGTACATCACCCATTCGCATAATCGCAGCAGATCAGCAGGAAACATTACTACTCCGTTCAAATTATAAGTCGCTTTGACTTTTTTGGTTCATTCATTTTGCTATATATCTAGACATATTATTATATCTGGATGCATAGCAAAATGAATGTAACAAAAAAGTCAAAGTAACTTATAATTTGGAACTGAGGGAGTACATGACAAGCCGAGGAGGAACATTTGAATACAAACATGATATCCCAATTCCGGTACGTCTTCCATCCCTCCTGGGCATCGCTAGTCAATTGACTTAATCCCCGTTGCAGCCTTCCTTAGGCTGCCATTATGTACACAGAAATAGCATTATTAGCCTGGCACCATACATACAGAAACTGATTGAATCTAGTAACAAACTAAACAAAGGGGAGAATATATGCCATCAGGCATCTTGTCAACGAAAATGATACATGAAATGGGCATTCAAACACCTGCACGCAGCATATTGTAAAGCAAAATGGTGTATGAACTACGCATTCCAGAACTTTTATATCTCTATCAGCTATTCCAAGCTTTTGTCTCTATGATTCCTAATTCACAAAGCTGAACAAATCTTTCTTCAGGTATCCAGATGCTTACATCTACATCATGAAAAGAATGAAAAGAAAATAAACAGCACATTCTGCAGTCTATCCAGAGTCAACTAAATGTGATAGGGCATTTCAACTGACTGTATGCAGTGTCTTGTAAAACAAAATTATGTATTGAATACACAACCAAGCGCTTGCATAAATTCCTTCAAGCTATTCCAAGCTTTTGTCTCTTAAGATTCCTAACTCCCAAGCCTTTGCCCTTTTCTTTGGTTATCCGATGCCTAATTCGTGATAAGAATAAAAATAAAATGCATAACCTGCTGTCTACCCATAGTCAACTAAATGTGTGAAGGTATAGATTGCATTTAAACAAATCTGGATAAGACCATGCTTGGTATGAATGACCAATAGTAGAACCAACTATACTGCTAGCTGGCTATTAAGCTGACTCAATTAAAATGTTTATAACTTCCTCTAATCCCAAATACAAGTACATTGGGGCATCGACATCGCCTCCGATATCATTGACTAGCAGTATCTACAAAAGCATATCATCATAATGAAAAGAGTTGCATATTATGTACATAATGATGGTCAAAGATACAAAAATTTGACTTCAAGTATGACAACACAGCGTCAGCAAAAAGCATATCATCATAATGAATTAAATTTTCAAAAAAAAAAAGTAACGAGAAGAACACATACCAAATTATGTAACTTCAGGAAAAAGCATCTTCCTCAAACACTTCACAGCAACTCGCTCAGCCTTTTCGTCAGCGGTCATTGAACTTGTGTCTTGTGAGATGAGGTTGTTATTGCTTCCATCATCTTTGATTCTTTCTCAAGCTTCGTCCCCTCCATCACAAGCTTCTTTGATTCCATCTCAAGCCTCCTCTCCATCTCTAGCTTTTCTGACTCTCTATTCTCCTGCGCTGTTAGATGGGCAAGCCTTGTGGTCTCAATCTTATCGAAAGACAACTTTTGCTGCAATTCTAGCACCTTCATGCGGTTTGCATTAGCTTCTTGGATCTTGCTCAATTTATCAAGCTTTCCCACATCAATTGCGGATTCCTTCAATTTTCCATCATCACCCATTGCCTTTGACTTGCCTTTTGCAGCAAGAGCGGCCCTTTTAGCTGCCTTTTTAGCTGCCTTTTGTCCAATTGGTCGCTTTGGCATCTCATCTTCACTTTCAACATTTTGCACGTCTTCTTCGACAGTGTTAGAGGTCAGCTCCCAAACAGTGTTAATCCTGTCAGCGGTACAGCAGAATGACATGTTACTATGACTCTTACAAATAAAAAACATGTATAAGAAAAGCTCGTACATAATACATAATGAGAAACCAACAGTAACTGTCCAAGGACATTAAATGATCATACTCATCAATGGCGCCATCCTGACTAGCAGAAAAATTTTCATTATCGCCTCCAGAACATCCCACCCATCCAACAGGATAGCAGTGGAAGAGCCTTTTCTGGATCCGCATGGGTCCTGCCTGATGGCCTCATAGATTGTCTTTCTCTCCTTAGCAATGCCCTTAAATCAATCATTTAGAAATTGGTGCCAACAAATCCATAAACATCAAGAAGACCACACAATTCAAGTAGCTGTAGCTTGTTTAACTAGAGAGAGGAACATACCATCAAGAGCCCAGCTACACTGATAGATTCTGGGCCTTTGTATGCCATGAAGTCTAAAGCACACCTGCGTGCAATGTTAATGGGGATGCACCACTCGGGGAAAAGATGTGGGTCATAGGTCCCAATCTCCAGCCACTCGCACATCAACTCAGCCTCCTTCGTGATAAACTTGAACAAACTTGAACAACAAATTTGCAAGCAATCAAACAAACATGCAACTTGAGATTAAGTTGAGCAAGTATAATTTTTTTTATTAGTCAAAGAGGAAATAAACAGAAACCATCAAAGCAGTGGCGGCAACAGGAAATTCACCCTCCAAGCATATGATGCGACGCACGCCCTCCTGGATCTTTTTACTGAGATTGATCTCATCAGTAGTGAAATCTAGCTTGTACATCCTCCTCTTGTAGATAAACTTCTCCTCAGCCTCTATGCACTTGAATCCATGATCATTCCAGCAACAAATGCAGTAAATAAATTAGCAGACAAACAAGAAATGGGGTACTGCAAATCAAGGCATGCAGGGACGCGAACGTACCAAGTTTGCAAGAGTTGGCAGCAGGACAGTCCCGACTCCGGTGCCATTAGAAGCTGTGTTGGCATCCCGCTGGTGCTCATTCTGCCACGCCTGGGCAACAGATTCAGCAGTGTTGTGGCTGTAATAGTCCTTGAGGTATTTCTTGTACGTGGGCATGTCCTCTGGGCTCGATTCGGACGTCACTAGACTGTCCCATCCCCATCCTCTCTCGAGAAGATCTTCGCCGCCATGCATGCAAAGAGTAAGGAAAAAGGAATATAATAAGCGAGCGAGGACAACGACATCTCCGCAGGAGCGGAGAAAACTACAAACCTAGCATCATTGATATCACTCCACCAACTAATCGTAACCGGCAAATCAAGCAAAATATATGAGCATAAATATATAGGTCCCTAATCAAATTTAAATCAGCGACATGGCAAGCAAGCAGGCAAATAAAGCGGGCATTCGTCGAATCAACAAATCGGATTTCCAATCAGAAATATACCTGGGTACTCGAAGATCCCCTCCGGCAGGTCCAATCCATCGCCACTCCTTCAAACAAGATTCGGACCGATTCGCCCAGCGAACCAAATCCTCCTTAGGATCCTCCAACAAGTCCAGCACCAAACCCAACATCGTGGAGGCTAGCACGCACACTCCGCCCTGCTCTTTAGCCTTGATTAGGTTTAGATTGGGAAATGGCAAATCGACGAGGCGGCGTGGCCCCCGGCCCACTGGAATGTTGCCCTCGAATAGGTGGGACTGGTATTTATGTACCAGCAGCACCGCGGCCCCCGGCTAGAAAAGCTAGGTCACCGGTCCAAACCAAACTTAAATGCACCACTTCCTAAACTTTTGGTTACCAAACTTTCAAAATGCGTGGTAGACCATTCTTTTGGGCTGAGGCGTGTAGCTCGGCTTCACGTACAAGGGAAGAAATGAAAGGCGCCGGTGCTGGCCATGCACGGTCAGAGACCAGACTACCTTTGTTTGTTTTTAATGAACCAAATAGAAAAGCTGCTGATTTTATATTAAAAAGAATAGCCCCAAACTGGACGTAACAATAAACAACATATCACCATGTTCTTTATATTGATCTACTAAAAAAGTGATAAACATGAAGGTAGTATATTGATCCTGATCCATATGTACATTCTGAACCAATTTTTTTTTTTACTTTAGGAGAGCCTCTGAATTTCAGGGTGAAAACAAATATTCATTTTGGTGTAACAAAATATCCCAATGTGGAAGTAGTTACGTGTAGCTCACGAATTTACATTGCAGATCATGAAGGAGAGGACTATTGCATGAGAAATGCTTGTTCTTCAATCCATGGAGGCGTGCTGGTTTCAGTGTAAGAAAACTAAACAAACTAGTAAGTACCCCACGCATGGTTATAATAATTATTAAGAACTGGGAAAACACAAAATCTGCATTACCCTAATAGAAAATATAATTTTTGGCATCATGTTACTTGCATAGAGAACTCTGTGCTATAAAGCTACAACTGAATGCGACTTCTTAAGATGTCTAGATCTTGGCACTAAATATTGCTAAAACTAAAGTGCCTCCAGCAATATTAGTAGGATACATCCACGGCAGTAATGAAAGGTGGAAACCATAGTATCCATCAGAGGTCTTATTTTTTGCACCTTGGGAATCACCTAAATCATCAACCTGAAAAGGTAATGGCATTATGTAAATGTCTTATGATGATCATCAGCAATGTTTTCTGATCGTCCGATTAATCGCGATTAATCACGATTAATCGTCCTTATCGGTACTTAGCACTTGATTAGGCCCTCCGATTCGATCAGAGCGATCAGAAACCTGATCGTCCGATTAATCGTCGATTACTCGCGATTAATCGTCCGATTAGGTCTCTTTGCCGATCAGCACTGATGATGAAGATGATGACCATGAAGCACAAGTTCAGCCAGATGCATCTAATGCTGAAGTAGGAATGGAGGTGGATGGAGACTCGGGTGGAGATGGAGGAGGCTTCAATTTGGATGATGATTTGCTTATTTAGATTTAGATGGCTGTTGAATGCTGATTGAATGGCAGCTAGTGTTATCTTAAAAACTCTGAATGTTGTTTGCAGTGTTTAATTATTTAGTTTGTAGTATGTACTCAGTACTCGTACTATATTAAGTAAGCTGTGGACTATGCTAGTTTTCTTAATTCCTACTTTTCTGGATCTGGATTGAGTATGTGCTGTAATGCTGTCAGTCTGTCACACTATTCTTTTGCATCTACTTACTCAAGTTATCTATTATTCCTGCAGAAAATCAGCAAACATATGGAGGCTGGGACAAGAATATGGAGTCAGATCTCATAGGTAAGTAACCAACTAACTAGAAATATGCTCGATGTCTATTATATAAATATATAGTATATGGTATATTATATATATACCATACATATATGATATATACTTATATAGTCCTGCTATATGCTGGACGATTATATGGACGATTAGACCGATCAGAGGTCGATTAATCATCCTGATCGTCCTAATCGGTACCACGGTACCAGACCGATTAGGAACGATAAGCCGATCAGAAAACATTGATCATCAGCATATAGTTCTGCGCCTCTGCTTTTTGCGCTTTTGACCCCTTCGATTTTGCTATTGAAAGCATCGTTGGCGCCCTATGTCCAACCAAGGATGATGAGTTGTACCATCACCCTTGGCACTTGTAGGCACTGACTATGACGCAAACAAAATTCATGGTGCATTGGTATTTTAAAAGCTGCAATACCATTAAGCCTAAGAGAGATTGCAGTTGACAAATTGTGTCAAGAGGTCTCTAGGTGAAAAGCATATGGTTAGACTTTATATGTGAAACCAAATGTGTGTAAGCTAAAGATGCACCATCTGGGGAGCAGAGGGCTACATTAAGTTTCATGTACTCTACAAAGTTTGGTCCTCCTTGTAATATAGGCGAAGCATATGAATTCATTTCCACCAGGTGATCTGTTAACCATCTTACTATATTATAGCTACATTTTAGGTGGATAGGTGATCAGTACATGCAGATTTTTGTAGTGTACAGCAAACTGAAATGTTTTCCTCCAATATACTCGCAGGAAGTCTAAATCATAGATTCTGAAATGTTTTCTCCAATATACCTGCAGGAAGTCTAAATCATAGAATCTTGATTTCTGGATGTAAATCATGCTTTCAGCAGAAAGTGGTAGCAATTCAAAGAAGGCTTGTTGGGTACCATAAAAATGAATGAACCTATCACCCCCCCTAATCACCTGATGAGGAAATATGCTAGCATGGCATGCAAAATAGCTGGTACTTCTATTTGTTGCTACATTGAGAGAATGGAAAGCATTTCTGTATAGCATATTGGTTGTATTAAAAACCAGGGATAAAATAAGTTACGACTAATTTAGTGGCACACTACTTGAGTCCTTGTCGATACATAATGATACAGATGGTAACAGATATAATAAAAAAGGGCGTACCCAGTGCAGAGAGCTCGGGGTCTAGGGAAGGGTGTCAGTGGTAAGCCTTCTCTATGAGTACAACATACAAATATAGAAGCTCACTTTGTACTTCAGAAAAGGCAACTGAACATAAAGGACTGCATATCCAGACCATGATTATGAAGGGAGAAAATATACATAATTCTACAAAATACTTATTCCAGAACTCAGTGTCAACTCAGTTACTCAGGTATTTTTCCTTCAGCACGTGCAGATCAAGTATGAGTACGACTGTCAGTGGTAATACTAACAATGCTGGCATAGTCCTGTACTGCTATGGGTTGGCAAGCATTTGGAAATTGGATAGCACTGGAAGAATCCATATTATTTCATACCATGAGGAGGTCATATGCTGGACAACCCTCATCATCTTGGGGCCCAGAAGCTGAAACAACAATGAAAGAAGCATCAGCAAGGTAAAGAAGAATCAAACAGAAAAAACTAATTAGCACAGGAAAGTAACCAACCAATGTGGCAGGAAAAGAGAACAGTGCTAAGAAAACAAATTTATGCCGGTATTCACCTTTGTAAGCATTTGATGCACGCAGCGCCACATCAGGCACCATGACCTCCAGGCTGTCAATCTGAAACGTACCAATGAAGGAAATTAATTTGGAGAAACGTAGAGAAAGAAGATAGAAGCCCCAAAGAATGAGATCTGTAAGCCGGAGCTTCTGAAGAAAATGAGAAAGGAGGCTGCTCGGCGGAGAAGACAACACGCCATGAATCAGACTTGAGGAGGACTGCACACATCGGAACTGACATACCTTGCGCAGAGAGGAGGGCAGACCGGTGTGGCTGTGAGGCGATGGCGCAGAGGGCCGGCTGGGTCGCCGGAGGGTACTGGGGCGCTGCGGGTTTGGGAGGACAGGCGTGAGGGTCGTATAGAAGCTCCCGCGAGCGCCGCGACAACGGGGCCAGAGGTGCCGGGGGAGGGGAATAGCGTCGAGGTGGCTGCAGCCGCGGGACGGCACGCGTGGGTGCGAGGCCACCACGCGGATGACAGCCTGGGGCATTGGACGGCAGGCTGGGCCGGCGGACGGCAGCCTGGGGCGGCGGCGGGTGCCGGGGCGGTGCGGATCAGTGGTTTTTTTCCTCACCTGCGGCCGAGGTGGGAGGGGGCACCGTGTTTCTTTTTTTCCTTTTTTTTTTTCCTCGTGTGTCATTAAAAAAATCGAATCGATCTCTGTACGCTTAAAAAAAAAAGTTATAGGGTGCTTGGTGAATTGCTTTAACTTTTTATATCTTTCATCTGCTTGCCGTCGGGTTTGGGCTCTAACGCCGTCAAACCGCAGGTGTGAAAAGACGAAAATACCCTTAAATCTAAATATGTCATTAATTTTTTTTGAGCATCTTAATGACTTCAAATGAAAAAACTCAAAACTAGAAAGTTATAGATCTCGTTGAGATCTATAATTTTCATATAAAAATTATCTTCATTTAATTCCATAAAAAATATGATTTGGTATGATTAATATATCTTTGAAAAATCATATCTTTTTTCTGAATTAAATGAAGATAATTTTTATATGAAAATTATAGATCTCGACGAGATCTACAACTTTCTAGTTTTGAGTTTTTTCATTTGAAGTCGTTAAGATGCTCAAAAAAATTAATGACATATTTAGACTTAAGGATATTTTCGTCTTTTCACACCTACAGTTTGACGGCGTTAGAGCCCAAACTGACGGTAGTGGCATGGAGGGCACAAAAAAGTTAGAGCAATGGCGCTGAAGACCGCTGAACTTTTTCAGAGACACACAAGGCATTGCGATCTTTTTTAATAGCACACAAGGAATTTCCCCTTCTTTTTTCCGGGGCCGTGGTGCGGCGTAGTTGTGGGGAGGACACGCGCGAGGGTTCAGGAAGGATCGAGCGGGGGCGGTGCGTTTCTAGGGAGGGAGGGCATGTGCTGCGGGTCGAGAAGTTTCGAGCGGAGGTGGACGGAGGGGATTGAAGGGGGAACTTGATCGGACGGATAGAATGAAACAAAAAAATTACAAAAATAACACTAGAAAGATTGACTCTTAGATTATGATGACATTCGGTGGATGACAAGTGGGTCCATCTGTGTCTATGAATGTAGGTCCAGTGTCAAATTTGCAAACCACCGATGCTTCGAGTCCCATATTTGCAAATCGCCCGAATGAAACGATGACGTGGAAGGAGTTTGCTGTTTTGAAATACAAAAATAAGTTAGGTGTCGGATATCGATATTAGGGATAGCCAAAACAAAGAAGTTAGCGCCTATATTAAATTCTTTCGGATGGCTCGAGACGTATTAAAAGGTCTCGCCGACCTCGAGGCCGCGGGCTCCGTCTCGCCCGACCTCTTGCGTGCGGCCTCCGTCTCGCCAAACCTCTCAGGCAAAGGCCCCATGCCACACAACCCCGTGGGCGCGGTTTCCGTCTCGCCCGACGAGGACCCATACCGCCGCCAATCACTCCAGGTCCAAGCGTATGGGCCTAGGTCAAAACTCTGACACCAAGAAAGAAGCGGGCACGTCTCGATGTAACCTGTGGCCATGACAGGCCATACCTAGGGTTCACGTCAAGAATAGTGTCGGGCATGCCGGTGCTATTTTGTCTAATCCTCGTACGGACGCTGACAGATGCGTCAGTTCACCACGCCTTCGATCGGGACAGAGTGGAACGCCATGACCGGCAGATGACGTCTACGCATGGCACTAGTGACGAACAGGGTCGCGACATGAAGCCGTCCCTGTTGACATCTACAGGATCGGCGGGACCCGCATGAAGGAGAAGAAGGACCCGGCGACCCTAGAAGCATTATTCTCTCTCTCGTTTTTCTCTTTTTACTCCTCTGTAACCTGCGCTTTCCCTTCGCCTATAAAAGAAAAAGCAGGGCGCCCCATGAAGGAGAGGTTCTAGCACGTCTTCACACAAATAGCACAACATGAACACACGAGCGCACAGCTAAGCGGCAAGCGAGCTCTCAGCACCCGTTCACTCCTTCCACCAGAGACTTGGGACCCTCTCCCTCTCTTGCATGTTTGTAACCACTACTGTAAACCAAGTGCCGGTAACACGAGCAGTAGCGAACTGGATGTAGAGACATTCCACCCGAACCAGTATAAACCCTTGTGTCCTCCGAGCACACCATCCGAGCCAAACACGCAAATACAAATTTACTCGTCGGTGGTCCGAAACACCAACAGTTGGCGCATCAGGTAGGGGACTTTTGTGCGTCTCGACGTCCATACCAGGGCTTGGATGGCTAGCCACATCATCAGCTAGGTCCCGGGCGTGCATGTGTGCTTCGGGAGCCTGGACTTCATCGTCATAACGGAGGGAGAGCTAACGCAAGCTCCCATCGCCGTCCAGCCTCTCCATTTCGTCGTCCTCGACATGATCGACGAGGCATTTGAGGAGCTATAGCTGCACGCACCGGAGGCCCTTGCCCCTAAGAACGGCCAGCTCCTTGGCTTCGATCATGGGAGGTTAGAGCGCTAGCTCGACGCCTTTCTGGGATCCTGACTGTCCTGGGAGGACCTGCGTTGCCTCCCCTTCTCGTTCACCAACATCATGGCACAGCTTGCCAGGGGGAACCGCTCTCCCCAGAATACCCGGAGTGCCCCGACAGTGTTCCCGTTCAGTCCGCGCAACATCGTAGAGACCGTTGGCCACCTTGTGGCGCAGCGCACGCCGTCATCCCCTACGAACGACGAGTTCGTGGGGATGATCGAATACGTCGTGGAATCTTTCCACGACCATCTCGTGGGAGATTCAGAGTCGCCCTGTGACTCTAACTCCAGCAGAGGGAGCCATCACCCCCTCGCGAGAATGCATTATGGCAGGTACCCCCGAGGGACGCGTCGAAAGCGTCCATGAGGGAGGGCTACCCAAACAAAGGACCTCTACGACGAGGTCGAGGGAGATGCAGGGGCCCCACCCTGCCTGTGGGTGGAGCAGCTGAGGGCACGGCACAAGGAACTCGAGGATGCGTGACTCTAGCTAGAGCAGGAGCGCACGGAGCTCGAGCAAGAGATCGAGCACCACGGACACGGTGGGCGTGCACGCACCATGGCCCGCGACATGAACTGGAGGATCATTGAGGATGATGGGACCCTCCTAAACTTTGCCCGGACAAGCCAAAACATCGCTGCCGTGGTGGCCTTGCTTCGAGGGCTTCTAGAGCCCATGACACCCGAGGATCATTGGGCCCAACGCGAGATCCTCACGCTGCTCGAGAGCGCGGCGATGCAGCAGGCGAAGAGCTCGCTATCACGGCGACGCGAGCTCGACGCCAGTCAGCACGTGCCCTCGGGAGGACATGTCAGGGATGAGATAGAGGAAGCCTCATGCAGCTCCGGTGCATGAGCGTCTTGGTCTCCACCGTGACGCACGTAACACCTTGGATGCCCGAGGCGTGCACGAAGCGATGAGAGAGAGGAAGCCGGCCATGACTGCCACCCTCATCGTGGCGAACGCTACGACAGCAGTGAGGACCAGACCTTGAGCCCCAACCTGCTGGAACTTCAGGCCTTCGGCCGACACATCCTCAGCGTCGCATTCCCACTGCGGTACCGACCGTCGAACAATATCCCGAAATACTCTAGGGAAACGACCCTCGGACTATGGTTCGAGGATTACAGGCTTGCTTGCCAAGCCGGTGGAGCAGATAGTGTCAGTTTCATTATCCGTAATCTTCCATTGTTCCTGGCTGATTCGGCGTGAATGTGGTTGGAACACCTTCCGCCCAACTGAATCCAAAGTTAGACGGACCTAAAAGAGATCCTCGTGGGAAACTTCCAGGGCACATACGCGCGTCTTGAGAACCCATGGGATCTCATGAACTGTCGACAGAAGTCTGGAGAGACTCTACATGAGTACATCCATCGCTTCTCCTAGCAGTGCAGCGAACTGCCCGACGTCATCGACGTCGATGTCATAGGAGCCTTCTTATCTAGGACCACCTGCGAGTCCCTAGTTCACAAGCTAGGACGTAAGGGCCCATGAACCACCAAGGAGCTCCTCGACATTGCCACCAGCCACGCCTTGGGCGAGGAGGCGATCGGAGCGATTTTTGACCGCTCCAAAGGCAAGGCAAAGTGAGACGAGGACGTCGGCGAAGGCGCCTCTAACCGCCCCAACAAGAAGAAGAACAAGCAGCGGTATGAGAGCTCGCTCATGGTTGTCGTCGACTGCAAGGGGGTCGAAAGCCCACTGAAGGCACCCCAGACCACTTCGAGAAGCTACTCGAAGGGCCATGCCTGAACCATGCCTTCCCCATCAAGCACCTATACAAGGACTGCGTCCTCATGAAGCGGTTTCTATCCGGAGGCTCCAACAAGGGGGAGCCTAGAAAGGAGCCCAAGCCGGTGGCTGACGATGCCGTGGAGATGGACAGTGGCTTTCGACACTAGATGGCTGCCTCATGATCTTTGGAGGGTCGGCAGCCTATGACTCCAACTGCCGTCAGAAGTTTGCGCGCCGCGAGGTCTATATGGCCGAGCCGGCCGCGCCTTCCTTCCTCTGGTGGTTGGAGTCCGCCATCACCTTTGATCTGACCGACCACCTAGAAAGCGTCCTGCAGCCGGGAAGGTACCCGCTCATGGTCGACCTGATCATCGGCAAGAAACAGCTCACCAAGGTACTGATGGATGGAGGCAGCGGCCTCAACATCATGTACGCCGAGACACTCAATGCCATAGGCATCGAACGATCACACATCTGGCCAACTAGGGCTCCTTTCCATGGCATCATGACTGGAAAGCAGGCCGTGCCTCTCGAGCTGATCGATCTGCCCGTCACCTTCGGGAATCCAACCAATTACAGGATGGAGACCCTTACCTTTGAGGTGGTCAGGTTCCACAGGACCTACCACGCCATCCTAGGACGTCCATGCTATGCGAAGTTCATGGCCGTCCCCAACTACACCTATCTGAAGCTGAAGATGCTAGGTTCGCGTAGGGTCATCACCGTCGGCACCTCCTTCTAGCGTGCCTACGAGTGCGAGGTCGAGTGCTGTGAACACGTCGCTGCGATTGTTGTCT